TGAACATGTGAACACGGAAAATGGCTTCTTTCTCTCTCTCAATATATCTTGCAGTAATTTAATAACAACGTGTTACTGCTGTTGTGATAACTGAAAACCTTTTTTACTGAAAACCTCATGTTCACAAACACTAAGAACCATACTGGGAAGCAAACAGAGACCAAAAATTTGTGAGCATGGTTCAAAGAAGGACCATGTTCACAATGTTCACAACAACAAACAGGGAATGGACGGTACAACGCACCAAGGTGCTGCATTACCCCCCCCCCCCCCCTCCACCCCCCCTGACTAGCTTGTAGCGGGCACTGGATACCCATTTGAACGCCAAGTGGAAATGCTGTCATCGATTGGGTCAATGCAGCCATAGCCCTACCCAGCCCAGTGAAAAAAACGGGCATGCGCACCATGGAGTATGCCAAGGATTTTGCAAACCAGGCCATCACCTTCCCAGCTGCCAGTGGCAAGACGTTCCACGAGGTCTTTGGGCGAGAGGACAGCAAGGTGGTTCACGACTACCTCTGTGAGAGATTTGGCCCCCTCAGTCAAATCCAAAAGTTCACCAAGTACATGGCTGTGCTGCTCCTGGCAAAGAAGAGGTGCCGAATCAACAAAGAGCATGTGGCCAACAACCCGTACCTGATTCTGACGCCTAAGAGTCTTATCTACAAGTGTTGCGACGAGCTGTGTTCTGCAGGCAGGGATATCCATCACTGTGACACGATTTGGGTTTGCATCCAGAATGCGCTCATGCCCAACATGGAGGAACTTGTAGCTGAAAAGCACGAACGTGTGGCCAAATTGGACGAGCTCATGTCCAAATGCGATGGGTCTGACCTGAGCATTGCCAAGTGCCTCCATGCCACATTTGATTCCATCAACTGTCACCAACTGCTTGTTGCCGTGGACTATGGCAAGTTCTATATCTTTAACGGAATGTTCTGGTACGATGCCAGCAAAGCAGAGCAAGAGCTATTGCGGGTTTACAGAACTCTGGAGCTCAAGTTCAAGCAGTGCATGGAGAGATTCAACGAGGAGGCCATGGAGCATGAAAGGACAGCCAATGCCACCTGGCATGACAAGCTTGCCAATAATTACGCCAAGGGGATGGCAAAGAGGGCACGCAACAACGCCAAGAGGTTCCTGAAGTGTGCCAACAGATGCAGCAAATTGGCTCCCATGACCAGGTGCAAGCAGGAGCTCAGCATGCACATCCTGGACACAGGCTTTGTGGGTCGTCTATCGACCCACCCTGGCATGAGGGTGCTTCCCCCCAGTCTGGTTCCACACGACCCCACGTCGGTTTGATGTCAAGGATTTGTTCATTGCCTGTCTCCCAGCTGTCAATAGCAAAGAGTACATTTGAGCCTGGCTGAAACAAGTTTGTACATCTTACATTGCTTGGTGGTGAGAACAATGCCTGCAGCATGGAAAACTCAAGGAACAGGTGTATACGCATGTTCACAACGACAAACAAGGAATGGATGGTACAACGCACCAAGGAGCATCAATAAATTTAGCAGATATAAGTAGTAGCCACTTTCCCAAGGGGAGACCACCAGAGCCAGCACCTCACAGCCACCACAGCCAACCACCAACCAACGCCTCCCCCACCATGCAAGCGCCCATCCAGGAACCCATTGAAGCACCCATCCAGACCCCTGAAGTCATGCAGACCCCTGAAGTCATCCAAGCCAACCACGACGATTTGGCCATCCTGGCCAGACTCCACAAGCTCAAGACCTTGGAGGACAAGTCAGAGTACCACACACTGGCCACCCAGTATCTCCAGCAGCACGTGGCAGCTTTCCTCGAGCAGCACAAGGCGGGTGACTACCACACGTTCTGCAACAACAAGGCGTTCTTCCTCATCCACTTCCCACACCTGCATGTAACCAACATTGACCAAGTGCAGCAGTACTACCAAGAGAAGAAGATGTCCATCTCAATGGTGCGGGGCCACTATGGGAAAATCCGCGTGTACCTTACACATATCCACGAGACCAAGTCGACCACACTGTTTGAAGATGTTGGGGAAGAGTACAGCAAGTGTGGGCGAAACCTTTCAGCGCTCCACGTGCACAAGAGCAAGGAAAACATGCTGCCAACGACCATTGATGACCTCCTTGACAAGTGCAACCAGATGACCGTGTGCAAGAAGAATGTTGAGTACTTTTGCGCTCAAGCTGGCATGCTACTACAGTCTGCAAGGCGACCCTGGGCACGTGAAGCTCAGGAACTATGACAAATCCCATGACCTTTACATCAAGGATGGCAAAATTCACCTGCGCATTGTGGTCAAGGACAAACAGGAGCATTACAAGGATGTGCGCATGGTGTACACAATGACTCCTGAGGAAAAGAAGGTTCTCAACTGGTTCACCAAGACCAACCCCCAGCACGTGTACCTGTTCACAAGCCAGACGGACTCATCCAAGCACCAACACACTAACAACTTCAACACGCGGGTACAGTGGAGCAGCAAGCACTGGTTTGGCGCCCCGTATGGCGTGAACATCATCTGGAAGATGACAGAGACCAAGTTTGCCACAATGATGCATGGCAAAGATGGGCTGGATGCAGCCAACATGTGGGCCGAATATGCTCAGAATCATGGGCACACTTTGGGCACAGTCGTCAACTACTACACACGCCCAACCCAGGCCTTGTCATCAGGGCATGACCCCACTGACGCTCTGCCTGAAGAGTCCCCCAAATCATCGTCAGAAGCGCCCTTGGACGCCCTGTCCGATGTCGCCCCTGATGCATTCTCTGATGCCACCCCTGATGCCTTTTCTGATACATCATCTGATGCCTTTTCTGATGCATCCTCTGACGTCGATATGTCTGACGTGGCGACTGATGCTTTCTCTGATGCCATGTCTGATGTGGCCCCACATGCGTACACAGATGCCACGCGTGATGCAGCCCCTCAAGCAGCCCCTCAAGCAGTGTCTGGGCCTGTGACCAACAAACCACTCAAGGGACTCCCTGGCAGTGTCGGGAGCTTTGAAATGCTCCGTTTGCTGCTGATGACCATGGTGATGTGCCACGACAATCAACAAATGCATATTGAGCTCTACAAGAAGGCTGTGGCGCTGGTCAACGACATGGCTGGCGGGTTGTAGAGGCTTGCTTTGCTCAGTGCACAGACCTACTCCCATGACCAACTGCCCCTGTGTTGCTCCAAGTGCACCATCCGCCCCAGAGTGTCAACCTACTCCTGTGACCAATTGCCCCTGTGTCGCTTCAAGAGGCTCTCTTTGCTCAGCGCATGGACCTACTCCTGTGACCAATTGCCCCCGTGTCGCTTCAAGAGGCTCTCGTCGCTTGGCGCGTGGACCTGCTCCTGTGACCAATTGCCCCTGTGTTGCTCCAAGAGGCTCGCTTTGCTTGGCGTGTGGACCTACTCCCATGACCAATGCCCCTGTGTCACTCCAAGAGGCTTGCTTCGCTCAGCGCATGGACCTACTCCCATGACCAATTATTGCATGGTATGATTGTTTGAATACATGACAGATACACTTGAGAGGCAGTGGCTTTGCCCTGCCCAACACATGCACAGGCGGTTCAAGGAGCTCAGGTTGCTTTGCCTCCCTGTATGTGTTCCATGAGGCTTGCTTTGCTCAGGGGCTGTCCCACCTTAGGAGGTCATACAGGATAGGTCTGACAGGCGGTTCAAGGACCCTGGAGGTACACTGGATAGGTCTGACAGGTGGTTCAAGGACCCTGGAGGTACACTGGATAGGTCTGACAGGCGATATAGGGTCCTTAAAGCCGTTGGGATAGGTCCGACAGGCGGTTCAAGGACCCTGGAGGTCAACGTGGAGTCCCGACAATAGCGGTTCAGAGGTGCCACAGAACCGCTTCAGCTCGGGATGCCCCATACCGCCTACCTGATATCTGTAGGGCCCCAATGGGGCCCTACAGACATGCATGGCCATGAGTGCTGCAGGCACAATCTTGGCCGCTAAAATGGTGGAGACAGTGGGGGCCAGCATCACAGTGTGGACAGACCACAACTTGGGAGCAGTGTCACACACAAGTGTGCCAAGTGATGTGGTGGTGGTGGTGGTGGTGGTGGCAGTGGTGGGCAGCATCACTAGCACAAGCTCAGCTGCAAGGAGAAAGAACAAAGACAAGGCATGCAAGAGCATGATGATTGAAGCTGATTGGTTGGTTGGTTGTTGTTTTTGTTGTTGTTCAAGCAGGCAGCAAGGGTGGGCACAAAGAAGGATTCATTGAAGATCTGGTTGCATGCACTGATGGTTTTTGGGGCATGGTCCTTGGTTCAAGGCAGATAAATTACCAAGTGGGGGGCTGGGCAGCATGAGCGTTTTATTGGTGGCCCAATGCACATGCTGGAGCTGATAGTTGTGATGGTGCTCAAGATGTGCTGGCACGTGTGGAAGGAAAATGGAGAGGTGTGACCAGGGTCATTTTGTGTCAGCTGTTGAGATAGCCAGCCATTGGTGGCACCTGGCCCATCACTCATTTTCCAGCTTGTGTTGGTGATAGTGCTGCCAGACCATCATCCAGTTCTCAGTATTTCTCTGTTGTCTCGCCCAGCAAGCAGCAGCACCAGCTCATCAGCATTGCCATGTCCCCATTTCCAGCCAAATGCAGGCTTTACAACGTGTGCACAAACTACTGGCTGTAAAATAGCACATCCACAGAGTCACATCCACAGAGTATCAATCCAAGCCCCCATGCCAGAGTTTCACAGACCAGTTCATGATGGACCAACAATGACATGGGCAACTCATGATGGCAGGTCCTTGCAGCCCTGCACGCACATCAGTTATCCAAGTTTTTCAACTCTGCCTCCCACTGCAAGTGTTCTTTGGATCAAGCAGAAGACAAGCACAATGGGACAAAATCTGTCAAGCTGTCCATGACATGCAACACACATGACCCCACCACTGGTCAGCAACCTCCCATTGTGCCAACTTGCCACAAATTTGCGCATAGGACTGAATACGCTGAGCAGCGATTTGAAGACAGGGGCTATGGCGCAATGGTAGCGCGTCTGACTCCAGATCAGAAGGTTGGGAGTTCGAGTCTCTCTGGCCTCATTTTTTTCGACCCTCGGCCTCACGGTCTTTCACTACCGCTGTCTTCACTCCGATCGACCCTATTACCACTTTGTGCCGTGCCGACCACCGACACGCCACTACCTGCATTCTGCTTGCAAACCGACTGCAGTTTTCAGCGTTCGCCTGGACGCGCCCGAGTGACTGCGACTTGATCTTCAAGCAACCCGACGTCAACGTTGACTCTCACCGACATGCGACACTCACTCGCATCTGCTCTCGCCCAACGGCCCCGCTGCAACCACCAAGATGCGCTGGTCGCTTCTCGCTGTCGGCCTGCACGCGCTCGCGTGCGGCGTCGGCGTCATTGTCGGTGTGACGCGCGGGCTCGTCCGCGACGTGATCACGGCATCACGACCGAGCGCGCTTCTGCCGCCATCGCCGACGGCAACTTTACGGAAAACAAGAAAATCAAGGAAAACAAGGACAACAACATCAAGATTGCTCTGTCGCCGGCGGCCCAAGATGGCGGCAGAAAAGACCGCGAGCGCGACAGACCTCGCCGCCGCGCCCGCGACGACGACGAGCGTGCACTCGCAACTCGCGCTCGCGTCGTACCTGTACCAAAACGGCCTGCTCGAGGCCAATGTCAACGACCGCAACGAAAAGGCGCTCGGGGCCACCAACCCGAAGCCGTCGGCGTTCAACGCCATTGCTGCGCGCGACTTGCTCGTCGCAATGGCATTCGGCGGCGTGCGGTGGCATCGCCGCCAACGACGACTTGCGCGTCGCCGCAGGGCACGCGCCAGTCGGCGACATGCACATGGAAACGGTCCACCCGCTGCAGATCCGCGGCGCCCTGGCCGATCCGCCCGTCGACAGCAAGAAATTTGTGGTGGGTGATCTCAAGTTCCGCGCTGATACGTTGGCGACCCCCGCCCTCACAACGAGCACTACCGATCCCGACTTCTATCGCCGTGCCGGTCCGATGGCGAATGCCGCCGCTGCCATTACGGGCCAGCCCGTCATTGCCCGTGTTGTCGACTCGACGCCCCGTCGTTGCGTGCGCCGCATCCTTTACCATGCCCGAGCCGCTCATCGGCACGATCCTTGCCTGCCAAAAGAACCAGCTGCACTTTTACGCGACAGACGACGCGGTCAAGAACACGTCGGGCAAGCGCACCGCCACCGCGACCATCCTCGATTTGCTCCGCAGTCCTCTGCCGCATTTGACCGCCGCCCCCGTGCTGAACTACTACCACGCGAACAGCACGGTGGTGGGACCGCTGCTGCCGCACGTCAACACGCTCATGGTCACGGACCACCATTTCGCTTCCGCACTCGAAGACGACGCGACCGGCTCCATTGGTACCGGCTCTATTCCTGCCACACACGACCACCTCGCCGACGATTTGATCCAGCACTCGTCCTCTACGGCGCCGCACTTGACCGCTGCATCGGCCACGACCGCCGTCGGCATTCTTACGCACGAGCTGCCCATGAACACGGGATCGGCCCCGCTTGAGACGCCCCTGCCCATCCGCACGCATGCGGGCCCCGCCGCACTGTTCTCGCCGACCCAGCAGGCGAGCCGCACTACGCTCATTCCGGCTCGGCGGCGTTCTGGACCAACTGTCCGCCGCACTCACGAGCCGGTTCTCGTCGAGGAAGTAGACGAAGAAGAATCACCCGCGATGCCGCCGAGTACCGTGACTCGGCGCGTCACCGAGCAACTCGCTGGACCTACGGTCGCATTCACGCTCGCGACTGACTCGCGTGGGCGTGCTCATTCCGCTCTCCCGGCCGTCGCGGTCGTGTCCGACGAGGACGAAGACGGAGTAGTCGAGCACGGTGCTCGACCGACGACGATGCCGACCGTTCCCGCCCCCAGGGACTTTATCATGTCGCAACCGGACGCGCCATTCGCGCGGGGTTTGGCCGGCCCCCGCACACGGCCCGGCACTCGCCATGCACCCGAGCCGCCACGTCCAGCCGCGGCGCCGCACTTTTCGCTCTCGCGGCTTTCCCGTGCACCGTTTGCGGCGCTCGTTGAAGAGGCCGCTGACGAGGAAAAGGAATTGATCCCGCACACACGCACCGCCACTGCGACCTCGCTCGAGCAGGATCTCAATTTGGGGAGGCCTGTGCAAGTGTCGCGCACCCCGTTTGGCTCGTCATTGTCGCGAGTCAAGGCCATGCACGGGGTCGTGGAATGTGACGAGGAATAGATTGATGAGGAGATGAAGACGGTTCACTCGACCGGATTGCCGCTGCCACTGACCCAGCATCCGACTGTAGCCACGCCGCTCGCCTTGATTCTGCTGCCGACCACGCCCAAGTTTGTCTTCAAGCCGCTGCGTACGTTTTCTCTTGACTATTCGGCACTCAATCCTCATTGACCTTCTCTACGCACCCCAATGCATGTAGCCGGCACCACGAAACGATACCGGATCGTCAAGGAAGCGCGCCTGGCCAAGCTGCCGCCGACGGTGGCGTCTGGCCAGGCTGTCGCCGACGGTGGCGTCGACAACCATCCTCCCGCACCCGACGGTCCTCACCAAGCTCGTCGAGATCTCGACGAGTCGGTCCCGCTGCTGCACTACGTCGAGCCCACCGTCTTGAATGCGGAACCCTCCTCGACCTCTGCGACTACCACTTCGCCCAAGCCTCTGCCGGTGACCCGCGGGTCCTTTTCTCGGCGCTCCGGATTGCCCGTGTCGCGGTCGCGGTCGCTCGGTGGATGCCCTTTGGCGAATCTGCCTCGACCGTCGCTTGCGATTGCCGAAGAAGATGAAGAGGATGGCGGTCAACCCGCGGCAACGATCGCATTGGCACCCGTCGTTTCCGCTGTCCGTTCGGAACATTCTCCACCCCCGACGATCGCGCCCACGACCATTCTGGTCGCCCCATCGGCGGATCAAGTGTGGAAACCGTCGCGACTCGGCCAGCCGAGCGTGATGCTGACCAAGGGCGCCGACCTAGTTTTCGACATGGATGCGTGGATTATGGCGTTGACCAAGCGCGTTTTTGTTTGACGGTACCTGAGTTTTGACGGTGTGGTGGAGAGTTAACTTGTCATTAGCGCTGATTTGGACTGGGAAAACGGACTGAAAAACCTGAATTTATATTTTCGAGCGGGGTTTTTTCGATTGCTCTTTCTTCTCAGTGCTCAATTTCCAAAGATGAAGACAAGTGAGGGTCAGCTGCCGCGTTCTCCCGGACTCGTCGATACCGGACCAACAAATATCTCAATGCCACGTCCTTTCTTGCACTCGCGCCACCTTCGGATCTGACTGCACTGTTTTAATGTTAGCCAAGAGGTATACCTGGCCGGCCAAAAACTGTGTCGCTAAACCAGGACGGATTATCCACTGTTGCCGTTATCCGTCCACCGTTAAGAACCTCCCGACGTCGGCCACATCTTGAACCGCCGTTGGGTCTGCGTGGCCGAGATAGCTGGCCAGCACGTCGGCCACGGCCGCGCGCGGGATTCCGGCCTTGTCGAGGAGAAACGTGACCAAGTCACGGAACTCGGCCGACTCGCGGCACAAAATCGCGAGGAGCAGCGCGAGTTGCGACAGCGTGAACAGGCCCTTTTCGAGCTGGTCGAGGTAGACTTGGCCCTCCTAATTGATGGTTGAGTGCGCGGTCAGTCAAATTGCGTCGCACGGTATCTAAATTCGACTCGACGTACATCCTCCTGGTTTGCATCGACCGTCGCGACGCGCTCGCGGTACGAGACAAACCAGTCGAGCGCCTGGATCACTTTTTCGTGCCCACGCTCTGCAAACTTCTTCAACATTCGTTCCTTGGCCTCGCCACGGCGCTCCGCTTCCTCCTCTTCGCCATCGACTCCCGGCATCGCCACGGCCCTCAACAAATTCACTACCGTCGATACGGCATGCTCCTCGTCGGCGTGCGCGCGGTACTCAGCCTTGAACGCCCTGCTCATCTTTTTCTGGTCGGCGCCCATGTACACGGGGAACACGCACTTGAGCACCTGTGCCGTACAGATCGCGTGTACGGCCATGTTGACGGCCTCGGTCCGGTCGAGTGAGAGGGTCGCGTAGTTGAGGACACGAATCGCGCCGATACGTGCCATTTGCCGTGCCTGGATCATGAGTGCCATGAGCTCGAGGCCTTCGGCGGCGCGGAAGGCCGATTGGCCCTTGGATGTGCCGAGCAGGCAGCAGAGCAGGGAGAAGGCGTTGGCGAGGTACTCGGCGTGGTCGGCGTGGTCGGGGTTGCGTTTACGGAAGGCCTGGTGGGGTGGGCAGGGCAATCCGTAGAGTTAGGATCACGTCATCGACTGGAAACAGGACAAGTCATGCGCGCCATACCGAGAGAATCAGCAACACCGAGTCGACGGCCCCTTGGTCGATCAACGCGTCACGCACACGGTCCGACTGCTGCGCCATGGTCGCCAAGAGCTCGACAATGTAGCTCCTCAAGGGCGTGAAGGCCCTTTCGCGCATCGTCTCGGTAAAGTAGGGCATAAAGGTCGTCTTGGTCAGGATGCGGTTGGCGAGCGACTCGTCGACGGCGAGCAGGTTTTCAAGCACGGTCAAGTACTTCCACAACGTCTCGTCCCGTGCAGCCGTGGTGGCGGCCGGGTCCTGGTCGGGTTCGGGCTCGGCGTCCATTTCGCGTCGGTAGCCAGCTTCCAGGATTTGCAGCAGGTCTTGGTCGAGCTGGTGGAGAAGAAATACGTGATGAGCGACGGCGTTCATGCGCGAACGTCGAGCAAGGGAACCGTACCAGCGCAGCAACAAAATCGCGAATGCCGCGCAGGTCCTCGACACCAACTTCGGCCTCCTCGGGGTTGATCACGTCGTCGTCGGTCAGTTCGCCAATGACCTCGAGCGCGGCAATACCAATGTCCGGGTTTTCGTGGGTCAGGAGGGCAATCAGGCCCTGCGGCATGCCGAGCCGGATGGCGTCGCGGTAGAGGTGCGGTGCCGTGGCGAGAATGGCCAAGCTTCGCGCTTCAGCATCGAGGTCGATTTCCGAATCGATGAACCTGGCCACGGAGGGAAAACATT